ATGATTCTCTGATTTGGAATAGGGAAATACATTGGTGGAGGGGAGTTAACTGCAGACAGCTTAAGGGTCCCTGTTATCCGCAGAAGACAGGATCTAGGAGAGTGTCTGTGCTGTTGTTCCCAGTTACCTCTGTCACGTGAAGATAATAACAGTCCCTGATTCCTGGAGCTATTAGGAGGAGTAAATGATAGAATATAGTAGACTACTTGACAGTGATGGGCACAGAATAGAAGCTCAATAAGAGATAGCAGTTAATATTAGAGACTGTACATGAGCAGTAAAAGAAGAATTCCCCGGAAAGATTGCATGGGAGAAGATATAGCTTATAAAAATGTAATGGTACTTATTTTTAAGTGTCCACATGTTTTAAGCATCTGTAATATCAAACAGTTGGGAGTCTTTCCTAAACTACTCACAGCAATGAGCTAGTCCCCCTTCTTCACACTGACATATGATTAGGCATGAAGTCTTTCTGAAAATATCCAGGGCCTAGTGACACATGCAGAGACTCACAAAGCCTTTGGATCTCATCTTGGGGAAAAGAGAGCACTGAACTTTGAAGATTCAACCAGAATAAGCTAGTATTAAGAGGCTCAAATATCTAGTTAGGGCAATTTAAAAAGAAAAATCTTTTAAAATTTAATTGTGGAAGTACCGCCAAATTATGAATACTGTATAAAGAGTTCAGAGAAATCCACGGATAAGTAAACATTTAACTGCAGCAGAACATTACAAAGGTCCAAACACTTTATGAGACCCCTTATGCTCTGTCATGTAATCAGAGCAGGGTAAACTCATATGAAAATCGTGTAACAGGTATTTCCAGAGCCTTCACTATTTGGAAGGCCACACACAAATTAACACTGGCAAGAAGGCAGATTTTCTCATGTCTTATCTACTTCCAGAGACCTTTGCTGGAGAAGTTAGTAAGTTTAGGGGCACTAACCTAGATTTTTTTTTTCAATAGTGTAGCCTACCTTCTGAGATCTGAACTGACAAGTGGAGAGTGTTAACTTTTCAGATTTCTGTGCTATAGGATACAATTTTTGAGAACTGAATTAAAGTAGGATAAGACACAACTAATGACAGTGATGTGGCTATTACTTTTATAATAGCCATACAAATATTATTTGAATGTTTTCCCTTTTTTGTTCTTCCCAGAGTACCTGAACAGAACAATACAAGAGCAGCTGGATGTGATATTGTGGAATGCAAACAAAAACTAAGCAAAACACCTGGTCTAAAGGGAAAGCAGATCTTTACTACTTTTTGACACTAATGTGACTTGTGGTCACATGAAGCCATAACATTTCATAGATGCTTATGGTACCAGAGTCTTGCACCAAAATTCAAGCCCACAGACATTTCTTGTTAGACTTGAATATCATTGTCTAATATCATCTCATATTTTCTCCCTTAGCTGGAGTTGGAGAAATTTGGAACAGAATTCTCAATGTCCTAAATTTCTGTTGGCTTCTCATACTTCTCTAAGTTCCTAATCAAAATCTTCATTTCTTTCTTTTATTCTAATTTTTGAGGAAACACTGGTATGTAATACTATATATGATTCAGAGTGATAGATTTATACCTCTATTCCTTAAAGACTATTGATTTGGGGGATGAGCTGACCTACTTATCTACTCAAAGCAATTTACACTATGTTGTGCCAAAAACTGAAGAGAATTCCTTCAGAAGCCATTTGCAATTAAATGTGTGCTCCTTAGTATAGCTGCGTTCTTTTTAGTTGCAAGAAATTTTTCAGCTTTCACCTCTCTGCCTATCTCATTTAAGGGCAGAATCCCTCCTCAAGACCTCCTTCCTCCTTCCTTGCTTTAACCAAGTATATGGCTCGCCTTCACAGATAGTTTACATTTTCACTTTTAAAAATGATGTTTATCATGCGCATCCAATCAAATGAAAACATATCTGTTATCAGTAAGCATGGATTGGCATAGTGAATGGCTTTTATTTGCAAGAATATATAAATGTATGCATACAAAGACAAACATGTGTTTGGGTATACAACACGACCATTTTTTTCCACAATAAGGATGTCCAGAAAAATACTATAAGTCTGTATGTTCATCTGCTTCTTCTTCATACAATTTCAAAATATGTCAAACATCTACTGTGTGACTGGTGAGCCTCCCTTACCTATTTTAAATATATGCTTTAGCTTAGCTGAAGGGGTGGTTTACAACACTGTCTAGCAGGAAGAAAGTATCAGAGACTAGCTCTTTTACTAAGAAAACATGAGTACACATTACACAAAGATGCCTGGACTCTAGCTCAGGAGGTAGCCCTTTCTAGTGGAGACATCTACCCAAGCAGGGAGAGATAATAATTAGGATGTTCTCAGATACTGACAAAAATCATATCATAATCCTGTAATCTGTGTAGAAGAATCTTCACACTACGTAGCACTAAAGCCTAGGTTCTCTGTTAAATATTTAGGGAAGTTGGCCCTCTCTGGTGGCGCAGAGGGTTAAAGCACTGCACTAATAAGCTTAAGCCACTTCCGTATGTGTTCGATCCCTGCCTGCCCCAGAGGAGGTCCACATGGCATGGCAGACCTCTCCTGACCGGCCCACTGCTACCCTCAGCAGTGTACTTTGTTGATCTGCCTGTTCTGCTCCCCACTCTGCCCCTGGTGAATCCTCTCACCCTCCGCATCTCTGGCCTGTACCCCAGTTCTGTATGAATAAATAAATAAATATTAAAAACTATATATTTAGGTCTACATACATACAGTACTGGGAATACCAATATAGGCAAGATAAACTTGGACAGTCCTGTGGAATTTAAATTATCTCTTGCCTTATGCATATAGTGTTCTTGCACTTTCCTGTCTGAAAGGACTTGTTTTGCCCATTATTTAACTACACTCCAAGGCCTTGCACTGTGTATTAAAGATATGACAAATATATATAGATATAAATTTATGGCATGCTCTATAAAATGAGTGGGTAAAAACAATCACATGCATCAAAAACAAACAAACAAACAAATAAGTCTTTTGCAACATTACAGAAAGAAAATTGTTCTCAGAGAGAGACTTTCTATTGTGCAATCACTTCCTAAGAAACTGGTAATTTTTCCAGAGAGAGAGAGACCTTCAAATATAAATTAGATTTAAAGAAAGTTACTATGGACCCTCCCTGACTGTGCAACGGGTTAAATCACAGCACTTAGAAACTAGCCATGGCCCTCCCTGGTGGAAGCACTGTACTAAGAAGCTAAAGCCATGAGTTCGATCCCCGCCTGCCCTGGAGGTGATCCACCAGAAGTGGCAGACCTTTTCTGACCCGCCCGCCGCTCCCCTCGTCTATCTGCCTGTTCTGCTCCCCGCTCTGTGTGTGGTGAATCCTCTCACCGTCCCTGCACCTCTGGCCTGTACCCCAGTTCTGTATCCATAAATAAATAAAAAATAAAAAAAAAAAAGAAAAAAGAAAGAAACTAGCCATAGCTAGCTATTGCCACCTCAGCAGGAATTCAATCCCTGGACATACCTCTCCTGTTCTTGCCCACTGCTCTCAACAGTGTACTTGTTGATCTGCCTATTTTGCTCCCTATTCTGTCTCTGGTGAATCCCCTCACTGCCCCTGCACCTCTGGCCTGTACCCCATTTCTAAAGAAATAAAAATAACTAAATAAATTACTAAGTTCTCAGGTTACTTTTTAAAATCACTTAGGGGGTTGCTATGTACAAAGCCAGTTAACTCATTAGTTCTCCAAATTAAAACTACTCCCCCTTTGTTAGTAGAATTAAGTGTAGCTTGTGACCACAAAAAAAGTTTGAAAAGCTGAGTATGTCTTAAGAAATTCTTGTGGGAAGATTTTATCCAATAAATCTGAAAATATACTATATCCAAAAGCAAAAATTTCATAATTTCCCCCAAGGCTGTCACTAATTTTGAATTTCGACCAGATATTTCTTCAAAGACAGAACACATATCTTAAGCCAACTCCATCAGTCATGAAAAAGCTTCCACTACTTGGGTTTCCTCATCTCAGAGGCAATACTGGTGCTTTTCCACACAGACTGCTCTGAAAAGCTAGTCAACAGACATTCAATGCCTTGAAACTTTAGTAGCATGATGCAGGTACAATCTATCACCTTTCAGCTCTGCAATCATCTTTATTTCAGTTCCAGGAGGACAGAAGACTCTTACTTTCTTTGTAAATCCAACACTAATGCTTGGTAATCAACTTTATCTAATCATATCTCTAACATTCACATACTCCTCTTTAGATTTCATGATGAGACATTAATTAAAGTATTGTTTTCAATAAAGTGTCTAATTGCTAAGAGAGGATATGGGTGTTTTTTTTTGTTTTTGTTTTTGTTTTTGATTTCCACCGGTCACAGACACTTCCTTAAATGGTAAATTCCAGGAACAAAAAAGACACTGAGTTGAATAGAAATTGGGACAAGGGGAAAGGTAGTGAGGGGAAATCTGCACTTGGATGAAACCAAAGGTGATATGTTCAAAGATTAAAAAAAAGAAAGCAGAGGCCCTCCCTGGTGGTGCAGCAGGTTAAAGCACAGCACTAAAAAGCTAAAGTCACTTCAGCATGAGTTCGATCCCCACCCAGAGTTAACCCATATGGCGCGGCAGACCTCTCCACACCAGCCCACTGCTCCTCTCAGCAGTGTACTTCATCATCTGCCTGTTTTGTCCCCCACTCTCTCTCTGGTGAATCCTCTCACCGCCCCTGGTCTGTACCCCAGTTCTGTATGCATAAATAGATAAATCTTAAAAAAAAAAGCAGAAAATAAAAATATATTTTTTTTAAAAATAGGTTGTTATGCTGTTGATGAATTGATGAATGCTGCAGTGAGAGGTTGTTGTTGATCATTCTGACTGAGCTTAATTTTACACTACAATTCTTAGGAGTGCTGGCCTTTTGTTTTGTTTAATTCATTATGTTTTCACTCGTAATGGTAAACACCCATAGTTTTCCACCCCAAGAAATCCAGAGTTGTGGTTCTCAACCCTTCACAATTGCTAAAGAAGTCACATGTTTTACATGGCAACAAAAAGCAAAAATACACACATGCACACAAACACACCAAAGGAAGATTGCACAAGACAGTATTTACTTGACACATGGGTGAAGTACTTCAAATACCTCTGTTTTATTTCCTATCATTCTACTTTTGGTAGAGATTCACTAACTTGGGTGTGTTGCAATTCAGATTTGCAAAATAATGCCTTTGAATGTTCTTTCTTTGAAGGTACTCTTAAACATCCCTGCATGTAGTTGTCCATACATTTATTCCAAATTGTATTTTTTGTTGTTGTTTTTTTTTTTTAATCTAAAATTTGTTTTTGAGTTGGTGTGATTTGTTGCAGAGTTTACAATTTAAATTTAACGAAGAACTTTTACTACTTGGGAGGAGGAAACATGACATTTCCAAGAAGCAGAAAGTGATACGGATTTCTTTCACCAACTTTTCATACTTATCTTCATGCTCACAACAGAATAAAATTTTTGGATAATTAGGTTTTATTCAGGAAATCACGGTGATCTCAATTATATTTCTGCAAAATTCCTTTTAGCAAAATTAAATAAACAGCTAACAGGATAAAACAACCTTATATAAATGTTTATATATAATATATACATTTACATGAGTTAAGTGCATTTCCTGGCACTTTGTACTTCTATGTTGTCCAATATTTACTTGCTTTCCTCAGAAAGATTTTATATTAACAACGAATTATTCACAAGAACAAGAACAAAAACAAAAACAAAAAACTCAAGAATTTGGTATTTTTCTGTCAGTATTTCAAAACTTTGGTAAACTTTCATGGGGCAGATGAAATGGTAAAATGTGTCAAAAATTACTAAACACTTATTTCTAGGCACAAACACATAAAAATACAAATGGAGACATAAACATACAAACATACAGAGCTGGAGACATCATCCAGAGAATTCCCTGATTTATGTTGAATATCACTTATACAATTCAAATCTGTGGCTGGCTCTCTAAGCAGTATGCAACATGCTGAATGGGATTCTCACAAATTTATTCGAGTTTATGTTCTCTGACAGCAAGTCAAATAAACTGGATATAAACGTAGTCCACAACAAACTTAGCTGGGACCTGGGAAGAGCTGTTATTTTATAACACTTAAAATAACACTGATCAGTGTAGGATTTTATTCAAAGTGGTTATTCCATGTTTATGACAACACAGAGACTTAATAGACTTAATTTTCTTTGGTTCACATAAAGCCAGTCTTAAAGTTATTGCTGAAATATACTTTGTATTTTTTTTTAATTTCATTAATCTGCTAATGTCCCCTTTTAAGAATAGAATTCTGGGTGACTTGATATCCATCAGTAGAACATTTCTTTATTAACACTGTTTCTTTCATAAATTTATTTATTTTAATACTATTTTTCCTTTCGTGATGAAAAAAAATAATAAAACCTTGACAATAAAACGCACAAGTGGAACAAGCAGTGATTGGCTGACACCCCACGGTCAAGGGCAGGCTCCAGCAGGTTCGGAGTAGCAAGGTCATCAGAGTATGGTGCATAATGGAGCATCATATTAGAGTGGAATTCAGCCAAACACAGTAATGTATGGATGTAGACGCATCTGAAAGAAGGAAAATAAAAATTTATGCAAGTAAAAAAAAAAAAAAAACGCAATGAAGAAATTTTCCCCCAATGTCTTATGCCCTACTGGAGTGTTCTGGTGGAGGCTTTGGAGCAGAGAATTTTTATTTACAAATTATGTGTTTGTAAATAATAAATATGCTAGGGGGAGTTAACTTGTCAGATGAATTCTATTTGGAAGCCATAATAGCTTTTTGTTTGTACACAGGATTAGAGTTCAATACAAACATCACTAAATTCCTGAAAATAAACCTTTATTCCGCCTTTAAAACATTAATTCACCAGAAGTGATAATTAAGATTAGTTTTAGTGGTTTCAGCTCAATTCTTCTTGGAATGTGATTTCTCCCACAACACTAATGCTAAATAAAGCACTGTGTAATGTTCTGAAACAGAGTTCCTGCTTTAGAAAAGATCCTAAGTGCTTTTAAAATAAATCAGAATGAACAGCAAAGCTGACTCAAAATGTATATGAACAGAACTTACTATTTCTATAGACTCACAGTAAATAAATGGATGGAAAATCTAGCTATAGTCTAGAAAGTGGTTATACACATACAGCTTAACCGTAAATGTTCTAAACAATTATCATACTAAATTTCCTACATAACCTCCACCACCACCCTCTCTCCCTGGAAAATAAATGATGGTTCACATTTGCATGCTAAGGATACTAGTAAGGTAAAATACAAATGCATATTTAATAAAATGCAAAGGAACATAGAAGCAAAAATGAATCATCAACATTGATAGCTAAGGAAAAAGATTTCCCAATTTGATATGTAGAAAAGTTCAAATATGTGTATATAAAGTTTTTTGTGAATTTACATTTAAACTAATTTTATTGAGGATATACTAAATAGTAGATAAGACTTTATAGAATGTCATTATTCTGCAAAAATCCTATCAACTTGTGGAATAGATGCTCTGAACCACAATGTTACTTTAACATGCATCATCATATAAGTAGTAATTTCTTACAAAGAAATATAAATTTCATATAAGATTTTGTAAAATATGAATTATCATTCCCTAGATAACTTTACAGAAAAAAAAAGGCCAAAAGCAAATGCTATTATAAAACTGTGAGATTTCATAATCAAGTATTTTTTGATCATCATAAGTAAATCTGAACAGATTTCTGTCTTTGCTGATAAATATAAAGTTAGGGAAATTAATTTTTTTTTTAGATGTAGTATGACAATTAGAAAAGTTCAATGAACTCTACCATCTATAAATTACAATGTAGTTTAACTTAAATCCCTGTAATTTTTGTGATAGTAATCAGATTACTTTTTTTCCTACTATATCTCAGTTATCTCCTGTTTATAATGAGGGGGATGATTTCATTGATAGCTTTATAATTCTAAAGTATAATATCTCTGGTGATTTTAGATATAGACATTAAGTAGATGATCGTGCCACATTTTACTTTTTTTGTATATATTTGAATTTTAAATATTTCCATGTATCAGTGTATGAATTACAACAATGAGATAAAAGCCTAATGTCACTTTTGTTGACTTATATGTATCTGTTTATATGTGGGATGAGAGTAAGAGAGACAGAGTGAAAAAGAGAATTTGTGATAAATACCATGTACAAATTTCCACATATGAGACATGTACTTTACTCAATGATAGAAAGGTATGATTTTGCTATTTTTAATTAAGCTCCATAATTTACTTAGTCTTTAAATAGATTTTATGGCCTTACATCTAAATCACACATTGGCTTGGCAGTAATTTGATATAGGGTTCAAATTGTCTTACTAGACTTGTATAAAAATCTGCATATTCATTCAAGTCATCCAGAGATGCAGGTAATGCTGCTTTAGTTCATGACTAAAGACATGGCCTAACTTTCATCAGTTATTTAGCCTCTTGATGATAATATCAAGACAAATGTCACCAAAATCACCAAATAGTGAGATTTATGATGGTTCTTGAAAGTGTCGTTAGGTACAGACAAGTGAGCCATATTGTAGAAAATAGGCTTGTAGAATTAAAACTGGAAGCTGTAATTGATGTCAGTATGTAGATGATTTATCATTGCAATATATATGTTAAAATACAAATACACAAATCATTTACTTTTAGTTTTCTTAGTGCTCTAAACTCTAAGAGATGACTGAAAGTCATCCATTTGCTTCCAAAATGGAAATAATATTAAAAAACAATATCCCCCATATTTTCTTCCTAGGTAGACAGTGAGTACTATGTTGAACACAATATGATGAATTAAAGAGAACATTATTTAGACTACATTGAACAGTTCCTTGAACAGCAAAACTGTCAGTGGAATAGTGGAATAAACTTGAACTTCACTTTGAGTATTTCATGATGAGTTATAACTGGAGTTTTAAATGAATGTGTATTCAAGCTGTATCCTCTATACTCTTGCCAAAATTAAAGTACCTTCCTTTCCGTGTACTTGGTGCAATATATACATACATATATATATATTTTTTTTTTAACTTTCTGTACATTATTTTAGTAACAGCATGGCAAGGATAAACTCAATGGAATTTAAGACCAATAAGAAAAGGAACATTTATATTTTTATATATTGTCTATGATTATTTTTGAATTATATTAGTTTTAAAATAAGTTTTAAAATATTTCATACATATATACTGTAAATTTGAATGGAAAAAGAGAAACAGTATACTTTTGCCAGCTCTACTTTCAGATCACAAACCTAAATCCACCACCAAGACCAAGTTTACCAAGCAAAGGAGGATTGAAATGAAAAAAAAAAAAAACAGATTCTCAATCTCATGTTGTCCATGATCTACATTTTGCTCAAATAAACATATTATGTAGTAGAAAGCAAAGAATTTTGTTTTCACTGCAAAGATCTGAACTATGAAAGCTGGAGTATAACATCATTTTTTTATGAGGTGTAAATTAAAAAAAAAAAATCAGTAGCACTGCAACACAAGTTTCCTAGGCTCTGCTAAAAAATATAGAAAGTTGATTTAATATCCCTTGAGCCTGTAAAAACAAACCAAAAAGAAGGGGGTGAGGTGACCATTATTTACTAACTTTTGTTTCTACAAAGCTGCTTAACTTATTGTAATGTAAGCATTAATAGAATTTAGGAGCAACACTTCACAAAGCCTAATACTCATGAAAATAAGAACATTGTAAGAGACATCATTTCCATTCAAAAACTACTAAAGAACTACATAATTAGACAATTCAAGGATATTGTAAATAAGATGAAGTCTTTATCTCCCTTGAAATCTCTGATTTTTAATTAATCCTTAATATAAGAAAACAAAAGACAACAACCTTTAAGTTTTACATAAATTCATGATCAAAGAGAAGAAATTATGCCCAAATCTTATTTTTCTTTTTAATATCATGATTAACCAAAACAAAATACATGTAGACTATTGTGTGAAATCTAAAAGTACATCTTTTCAAAATAAGAAATTACCTATTTGTGACAAAAGCAAAAATCAGAACAGAAAAGCCTAAGCAGAATGTACTTTATAAATGGATCTTTTGCCCTGGTAGTAATATTGAGAAAATGAAGCTATCAATTACTAATTACAGGAAGGGTCATGTATTTAATTTGCCTCTATTTCAGGTAAGCTATTTACTCTGGTTAAAATTTTATACATCTTTTGGATTACAAATTTTCCAAAGTGACTTTTGACAAAATGAATGATTTATTCCAATGGCTTTGTAGGCTTTCTCTTTGGGTATATGAATTTCTTTTCTCAGTTAAGATACTAACACCATACATTAGTTTATTTATGAGCATATCACTTTGCCTTTTAAACAGGATGCCAAGTCTTGATATTGGCTGTTTTAAATATTCAAGAACATAGAGGTAACCCCACTTGATGAGCCAAATGAAACTTCAGTGACAGTAGAGAACATACAAGGTGTTTGCATAAAATAACTAGCATAAAATAACTAAAAATCTGCCACTTGATTAGTCCACTCAAAATACACAACTTAGCATGCAAATGTCATTCAGCCACAGGACATCTAGTCCTCTTAGGATGACAGGTAGAAAAAAAAATAATCTCCTGAAAGATGGCACAAGTTTCTATTCTCTAAACAAATTTATGAGGATCACAAATTAACTGAGAAGTAATTTTAGAAAAGTGCTATTATTTTCATTGAATGGTCCTTATTTACAAACCTAATGAAAGCACTGAAAACCAAAACAACAACCTGCTCCCAACTCTAAGTAAAGTAATACCTTGACAGATACAAGCTTTCTACTTGTTAAATTTCAATTGAAAAGAAATAAGGTGGGTTCACAGGCATCAAAAGACATAATTTCAAAAGACATTTAATGAAACAGAGTTCAAACTGTACTGTTGGATTTTTTGTTGATTAGATATGAAAGCATATTAAATCTGTATCTCCTTATCCATATAGTCCTGGCTAATTATTGCATATAGAAAATATGTCTATAGGAAACTAGCTTTTTAAATTATGAAGCTAATAGGAATTAATATATCTATTATATAATATCTTGAATGAGTCCATCAATAACACCTTTAATGAGGTTGTAAAATGACTTTTTCTTTGCCTTAACTATCAAATCCCACATATCACACACAGGCATATTTAAGAGAAGAATTATTATTACAAACTATTTGAGAATCATAAGTATGTTTCCTGGAGTGAATTCTGGCAGGAAGAAATATATGATGTTTCATTAGCAGACTTGCTACAGCAATAGACAGAAGAGTTTCGGAAAGGTTTTATTTGCTGTATGCCAAACTTTCATGTGTGTAAACTCTGGGAGTAAAACATATAAAATACAAGTAGAACTTTCAAAAATAAATCTTATATTTCTGCAATTCATGTCAGAATACATATTTTTGATTCCACATTTCACAGTGAAACAATTGTCAAATATTGTAATGCATACAAAAATATTCTGCACACAAATATTAACTTTTTTGTTGCTTGGCTCAAATAATGAAAAGTTCATGCAGTTTACTGCTGCTTATAAACTTTTAATACCAAATGCAAATAAGGCAAGCAGTTGCATATTCTTATAGAAATCTAAATGTTATAAATATGGAAGTATTAAATTTGTAGCCTTGCATGACCTATGCATATCATTACATATTTTAGACCAGATTCTTTTCCAAGTACCTCACACTTGATATTACCTTTGCATAAATCAGGATCTACTTATCTGTTTAATCCTACATAATATGTAGCCTAGCTAAAACTGTTATTATGTCCAATTAGCACAGAAACCTAGAGTGACTTCAAAATTTTTCTCTCTGGATGTATTTATCCACTTAATATCCACAAAGGAAAATAATTTCAGGTTAAATCTAAGCGTCCAATCAATACATACATGTTTATTCTGGAAACAGGAAAGGTTGCATGAATTACAACTGATGAATTACAACTGAAGTACAGAGAGTAGTGCCAACACTGCTGACTATGCTTATTTTGTTTGGTAGCTTAGTAAATGCTGGCCTAAACTTGCAAAATACAATTGTACATCTTGTGTAGATTACACCTATTAAATTAATAGTGAATAAATTAACATTTTCCCTGCTAATAAAATGTTAAATTATAGTTTCAAAAGAAAGAAGACAAAACTTTGTTGAAGATGCTCTGTCTCAGAGATTTTAGCCCTCTCTGGGATACTGAAATATATTTGGGATGCATCTTACCTGTTTGCTGTACTTGTTATTGGTTTGACAGCTGTACTCAGAGCAGTGATCTGATCCAATTGAAATGTTGTCTCCTGCTCCCACAAATGTGTTGGCTGGTGGTAGATCTTGTACGGCCTGATGTTTTTTTCCTGCAGTTGGTGATTGGGGGTGAAGCTGGACAGTAGGCAATGGGGAACTAGATTTATAGTGCCTGGCCAGGTCAGGACTGCCAGGGCCCCCATTAACTGACCGGTATCGTCCCATGTTGGGGCTGTCTGACAGCTTCTCATTGACACTATCATACCGCTGTCCATTTGGTTTAGAAGCTTCTACAGTCACAATGCTGCTGTAGAGAGGCTGCTTAGATTTTTTGTTTTTCTTGTCCTTTTTAGGCTTTTTAGATTTGTCATGCTGTTGGGGTGTAAAAAAGTCTTCATGATCCTTTTTACCTGCTTCATAGCCATTTTTGTTTTTGGACCGGCAGTACCTTGCCATCACTACAATTAAGATGATTAGTATCACTGTCATAATTCCAGCGACCACCCCAATGACAATACTGAGTCTCTGTTTGCTAATTTCATAGCTTGGGTCACCAGCTATATCCTGGGTGAGTGGGGTGTGCAAACTTCTGACTATCTGGGAGTCAATCACAGTTGCATTAGAAACACTTTCATTGACAAACACATGCACCAGAGTCGTGGTAGACTGGGAAGGCTGCCCGCTATCATTCACTTGCACAACCAACCTATGCAAACCATAATGCTTTTGGGTGAGTTTTCCCACTAGGGATACCACACCACTGGTGGAATCAATCTCAAACAGCTTGAAGGGATTACCTCCCACAATGCTGTAGTTCAGGTCTGCATTGATGCCATCGTCACTATCTGTTGCCAACACTGTAGCTACTACAGTCCTGACATTACTTGAAGGTGGCAGTAAAGTGTAAGAAATGTTTCTGGGAAGGGTAACTGTGGGAGCATTGTCATTCTCATCCATCACAAAAAGAGAAACAGTGGCTGTGGCAGATCTGGGAGGATCACCCCCATCCACGGCCTTGACTCTGAATGTGTATGTAGTCTGATGCTCCCGGTCAAAAGACATTGTGGAGTAAATGGTTCCAGTGTCATTTTCAATGGAAAAAATGTTACTGTTCTCCTCTATATACAGGCTCATTTCCGCATTGCGCCCCTTGTCAGCATCCATCACTGTGACCATCCCCACGGGGCTGTTGGGCTGCAAGTTTTCCTTCACATAAAAGGTGAAGACGTCCTGCATAAACTTAGGGTCATTGTCATTTTTGTCAGCCACCTGCACAATCACTGTGGTGCTACCTTGTAGCACCGGGATGCCTTTGTCTTTGGCGTTAACTTTAAACTCATACCTGTCAGTCTGCTCGCGGTCCAGCACGGTATTCACGAGGATGTCCCCAGAATCGGGATCGATGGCAAAGATCCCCATCACAGAGGAATCCAGGGAGTAGGAGATTTCTGCGTTTTTCCCGCTGTCAGCGTCTGTCGCCAACACAGTGGCCACCCTCTCGCCAGGGATGTTGTTTTCTGGAAAGTAAACCTCCACCACCGACTGGCCAAAGACTGGCGGGTTGTCGTTGGTGTCTCCCACCTTGACAATCAGAGAGTTGTTGCTGGAGAGGCTGGGGCTGCCGGAGTCCACAGCCACGATGACCACGTTGAACTCCCTGGTGGTCTCATAGTCCAAAGGGGCGGAGGTGTGTAGGAAGTACTTTTTCTTGTTCTGGTCGCCCTCTGTGTCACTGGCTGGCTTGAGCTGGAAGGGCACGTCGCCCACCACGGTGCAGGTGACCACCCCGTTTTCGCCTTGGTCTCGGTCGGACACCTGCACTAGGGCAATCGGAGTGTCGACCAGAACGTCCTCCGCCACGTTGGCCACTCCGTCCTTAAGTGGGATGCGCCCGATCTTGCGAATTTCAATAGACGGCACATTGTCGTTTTCATCCTTGATATTGAGGACCACGGTGGCCTTGTCGGTCTTGGGGGGCTGCCCGCGGTCGCGGGCCATGACCGTGAAGCGCAGCTGGTTCACCTCCTCCCGGTCAATCCGGTGAAGGACGCTGAGCCAGCCCGACGTCTCGTCCAGGCGCAACAACCGCCTTACCGACTCTGTTGCTGCCCCGAATACGTACTCGATCTGCCCGTTGACCCCAACGTCCAGGTCGGCGGCACGCAGCTGAAGAATGGGGGTCCCCGGGGCGCTGTTTTCTGCCAAGTCGGCCTCATACACACTCTTCTCGAAACGGGGGCTGTTGTCATTCACGTCGGTAATGAGCACCCGCAGGATGGCCTGAGACGAACGAGGAGGGTCGCCACCGTCACGCACCCGCAGGGTCAGCTCGTAGGAATCTCGCTGCTCACGGTCCAGCGCCCCCTTCACGATCAGCTGCGGCTGCTTCTCGCCATCCGGGGTGTCGGCCACCTGCAATTCGAACACGCTGCTTCGGCCACTGGGGTTGGTCCCGCCGCCCTCTGGTGCGTCCGGCCGCCTTTTGGAGCCGCCAGGGCCGCCGACACTAGCGCCATTCCCGCCGCCCCCGGGGTAGGGGGCGCTGTCGGCAGGCCCCGTTCGCCGGCCCTCGCCTCCGCCGCCGCCGCCGCCCCCGGGCTCCTGGAGCAGCTCGTAGCGCTCGATGCCGTTACGGCCGAAGTCGCGGTCTGTAGCGGTGGGCAGCAGGTAGAGAGTGCCCACCGGCCGGTTCTCCTCCACCGTGAGCGTGAGCACGGGCGACGGGAAAGTGGGCGTGTTGTCGTTGATATCGAGCACGATGACCCGACCCTCGAACAGGTCCACCCAGCTCTGCGAGGGCCCGATCACAGACACTTCGAAGTCCAAGAAGCACTCGTTCTCGTCGAAGATCATTTGACACTGGGGCAGCTTCTCCCGGTCGATGCGCCGCTCGCTTGTGCTCAGCTCGCCTGTGAGGTTGTCGATCTTCAGGTACTCCGAGCCCGACTCAAGGCTGAAAGTCACCTCACCCGAGCCGGTCACGATGCCCAGGTCCGAGGCTACGTTGCCGATGCGAACGTCTGCCGGGCCCTCCTCGGCTAGTCGGTACCGGAGGAGTTGCTTGGCGGCCGCCAGGCTGAGCGAAAGCGGCAAGAGGAGACAGCAGCCCAGGCACCAGCCGCGCGCCCATCCCGTGGTCCGCATCCTCAGCATCTTCTCCTGCTGCTGCTGCTACTGCTCCTTCTAATCACAGCCCCCTAGGCGCCCCCCTCCTCTGGGGCCCGCCGCCTGCCCTCCTCCCAGTCCTCTCCCCTCTCCGGGAAAAGAAGAAGCGAGAGGGAGAGGCGGGAGGGGGCAAAAGCAGGGAGCAGAGGCGGCCCGAGGGGAACGGTGGTAGATCCTTCTGTTTTCCTCTTGCTTCTTCTGAAAGTTATTGTTTCATAATTCATGCACTGGGTGCTAATCGCCCGCTCGCCAGCCGCCGTTCAGTCGCAGTACTCACAGTTCACGGGACACTGCGCGCCGCGGACTCGGTGCCCCCCCAGAGTCATCCCCGCAGCGGGCGGAGAATCCCGGGCGCCAGTCCCCGCACGGTAGGATGGGGCCGGAACCGCTCTGGCAAGCGGGCGGTGGAACCGGGAAGCCGCGGGGAGCGAGTCTGCAGCCTCTCTCGCACGCCAACCCCGCTTGTCTTTGCTGCTACTCGAGTAGAGTCCAATTCATGTTCCAGCCACTCACTCTAGACCCAGCCTCTCTCCCGCTACCTAGACAAACGTGAGTCGCTTCCTGCACGAGGTGTCGGAGCCAGCAACAAGCCAGTCTCAACTCCGACTCTGCTCAGCTAGCGGGAGAGCCAGTCAACTGATCTAGAAGGAAAAATCCCCGACAGGTCGCTTCGGGCTCCGTGCAGTGGAGATCACTCGCGTCACAGAGCTATCCGCGTCCGGGTTCTCCCCGCGCGCCAAACAGCAGCCCGAGCCATCTTCAGAGACGCCCAGAGTCAGTCCTTTCTCACCCCCAAGAGCTCGGGTTTCTCTTTTTTTCTTAACTCTGCGCAAGGTCATTAGTCACGAAGCTGCCGCCTGAAACCGCAGCAGCCGTTCGCCCGCGGGGGCGAAGGCTGAGCCGTGCGCACCGCGCGGTGCCCAAGTTTGGGTTTGCAGCCGCAGAGTCCGTGCCTTTCCTCACCTGCATTCGGCCCGCATGTCGGAGCTGAGGGATCTGCAGCGCTGTGCGCGATTCAGGGAGGAGATTGCAGCCTCTCTCTCTCTCCCCGCTCTCTCGATCCCTCCCCTCCCTCCCTCTTCTCTCTCCTCCCTCCTCCTGTTCCCTCCTCCCTTCTCTGCTTTCCCCTTTCCCCTTCTCCCACTCTCTCCTGCACGCTCTCTCTCCTTCCTCCCAGTTCCAATACAGGGAACTCGAGCAGAACTTGATCCCTTTGCAGTTCAAAGGTGAGCAAACCGGCTCCGGTATGCAGGCGATGTTGGCTTGACTAAAGCCCCGGGCCGGGCTCCCCCAACGGCAATTAACAAAGATGACCAATTTTGTCCGGATTTCCGAAGAAAAGCCAAAGGCACTAGGGAGGGTGGTGGAGGGGGGAGGTGGAGTCAGAGACAGCTGCCAAGTAGCTTAAAAAAAAAAAAAATCCAGTTTGCTAAGGGGAGAAAAAGTGCCAGTCAGTTGTTGCCTCGGAAGTGCCCTGGCACTGTGGGTGAATTCCGCAGTTGTCTCGTCCCCTTTCGCGTCTGGGAGAGTCTGGTGCGGGCGCTCCCGCCGCCGCTTGAGCTGCCACGGCTCAAAGACGCTAAATGGCAAGTGGGAAGCTCCCGCTTCTACCCATGAGCCACCCGCAAGTTTGCCCGAAGTGGTGGTTGTGGCTGGGAGCTTACTGGTTTGCTCGCGGCTCAAGCTTGTAGTTGAAGCTACTGCTACGGCGGCAGCGGTGGCAGTCGAGCCTCCAAAAGTACACACTAGCTGAGAGGGCGGGAGTGGTGTCGGGTCGGGGGTGGGGGGTGCGGGAAGCGAGCCGAGAGCGCGTAAGCCGGCCGCAGCGCTTGGGAAAGCCCAGCTTCAGCTCCGGAGGCCTCTGGAAGTGTGCTTATCTCAGCAGTCCCCTTCCCCTTTAAGCCAAAACCTGCCTCCACCCCTCCCGGCCCGTGGTCTTCTCGGGCCACTTGCTTTCCTTCCCTTGGGCTGGTAAATTTCCTGCTCGCTCTGACTAAACAGGACTGCGCGTATGGGCGCGCTCCAGCGGGTTTCAGGAAACGATTTTCCTTCATTTGTCCCCCCACCCCACCCCCATGGCGTTCCCCATCCTCGAAGTGTCTCCAGTTCGCAATTTAGCTTCTTGGTTAGGACACACTTAACGGTGGCTTGGGGGTTCCCAGCGTGCGCCCAGGGAGCCACGCTGGTCTGAGAAACCATGATGGGCTGCAGTGCTTAAGAAAGAACGGCAAACTCCACGGAAAGCAATAGAGGGATCTTCTTTTGGGATCGCTGACTTTGGAGAGCTGGAACTGGGACTGGGGATGGGGTATTACTTGTCTTTGTTTAAAGGCTTGGCATTCCTGTCATCGTGCTTGCTTACGGGGGTAAATCTTGTGTGTGTGTGTGTGTGTGTGCGTGCGCGCGCGCGCGCGCACCAGAGAATAAACACATGTTGGAAGTCTCGATATTATTTTCTGAGCAGAAACCTGCAGTCTTTAGTAACTAGCAAAGTATAGCGTCACCTATCTGGATAAAAGAGAAATAAACTTTAATGGCAACTTTGTCTACCGAAGTGTCCTTAGCTCCATTTCTCTCCTTTTGACTTTGTGCCACTTGATTGTGGATGGTATTCCACCAGACAAGCCTTCCCCAAAATTTCAATGAGGGTCACTCAGCGGATCGAGTTCTGGTCGTATTTTCTAAACTGTAATCATTTACTCTTCGTTTATTTCAGCGGCTGTAAACAAGGGAATAACCAGGATTACTGGGTTGAGGAGGGTAAGAGGTATTTAGGGAGGAAAAGGGCTGATGATAAGATTTACTTAGTCGTCATTTTATCTGCCAAATCTACAGCCAAATCTCCCATTTAAAGGGAAATCTAATGTGAAAAAAAGGAAAAAAAAAAGATATTTGCCCACAATAGTCGTTTTGCCTTTACAAGACTTGTGTGAGAAGGCAGAATGATTTAAACAAGACAAACACAAATAAAGTCTAAGAGCAGATGTTAGCACGAGGCTGTATGGGCGGGCGCAGCTAGCAGGAATGGGCGGGGCGGAGAGGGAAGGGCAGCAGCGGCGGCGATTTCCAAGCTCTTCCTACCCGGGACTCACAGCTGGAAAGGTGTGTGGTAGATGCCCGGGAGCTAGCGAGCATTTTCCAGTCAGCTAAAACAGCAGTACTCACACGGGGGTCAGCTCCTCCTCTAAGGCCAGGCCGGGAACCCAGTCTCACTTCTCACACATAGCACACACCCCGCCCCCTTCCGCGCCCCCGGGACCCAGTCAAAGCCGCGCCAGCCTCTCGGCTCTATATCTGCAGCATCAGCTAGAAAAGCCCGGTGCGCAGACTCAGTGTGCACAGCCGCAGTCTGGAGCCGGGGGGAGGGGGGTGGGGGGGTGGGGAGGGAGGAGGGAGCGGGGCGGGGGCGAGCGCCGCAGCGCCTTCGCGGTCGTCTAAGTGGCAGTAAAGCCAAATCCCCATTGTATTTGGTAAAATAGTTTATCAGGAAGCGAGCCTCCCCCGCCTCCCTCGCCCCACCCCCCAGCCACACCGCTCCGCCCAAGGGTCCGAGGGAAACCATCTCCGCTCCAAAGCTTTGCTCCCGTGCATTCCGATGCTTGGCAATATGGTGCAGGGCACTCAATCTCCTCGCTGCCTTTACTAAAAATTTTGTAAACTTCAGGCAGTCGCGTGGGTAGCAACGTTGTGCACTCTTCCTTCAGCAGACCATAAACTTGCACAGCCCCCCTGCGCATCTTCAAATATTCGCTCACCGATACCGCGCGCGCTTTCCAGGCGCACGCAGGCGAGAACCAAAGAGTGGGCGCTTTTTCCCCTGCGCCCTGCATTTTTGTTTTTTTTTTTTCCCGGATGACGGGAGGATGCAGAGCGTCCTTCACAGTGGAGTGGTTTCCTCATTGCGGGAAGGAGGTAGTCTCCAGCCCGCCCTCCCTTCTCAACCCTACCAACTCCGCGGCCAAGCCCAGCCAGCGTGGGAAATGGGTCCGACGTGTGCGGCATGGAGAACAGCACAGCCAGACTGTCCGGCTGTGTAGTCAGCCTCTTGGCTCGCCTCCCTCCCCCTTCGGTCCCAGGCTCTGACCTTTCCGCCAGACCAGCCTAGGGGCGGCGGCGGCCTCCCAGCCCCGCGGCGCCGCATTGGGGAGCCCAAGAGAAATGGGCTGGGCGGGGTGGGAGCTAGGTAAGGGGAGCCTCCTAGGTGCCCGGCCGAGGAGGCGGCTTCCAATCCTCTTCCGCCCCCTGTCTGGGGACTGACACTCCAGCCTACAGCCAGCGTGGAGGATGAATGGAGGCGAGAAGCCACTTCCCCCACCCCCGCCCCATTTCCGCAGTCTTGGAGCTAGTGTCACAAGTGCTCAGCAATTTCATTAAATGGAACCGGGGGACTTAATCCCCCCCGGTACCAGACCTCACCAAGGGAATACGAGATCCGGCTACACTCCCACCCACAAACCCCGCCCGACTTTTCAGACCCAAGGCTGCATTTGTCTTTTCAACCTGAGAGGAAAGGGTTCAGAAGGAAATGGGATCGAAAGTGTAACCGGCTGCAATAAATTAAAGAGCCCGCTCCTGCTGTAGCTGGCTGCTGCTGCCGCTGCCGCCACGGTTGCTGCTGCTTTGGCGGCCTGAAATGAAGACAGAAAAGACAGTCTCCTGAAGCCTGCATTGATTAGCGCCAGGACGTCATCTCTTGTATGAAACAACATGTTTGAGGGAGTGTTAAAATGTTGGGAATATTTTCGCCCATCCCACACACCTCCCCCCTGTAAAAAGGACAGCCCCTTTGAAACCAAGTTATAAAAAATGAAATGAAATTGGTTATAAATAGCATTCCGTTCTGACAGATATTTAATAAAAAACTTGTCCAACGATTTGTTCTATGCCAAATATCCAATCACATTTAAAATATTGGGTAGTTTATTTATTTTATTTACCTACTAAGCTTGCTTTCTCAAAAACTGCTTTACCATTAAAAATTTTCAATGACTAAGCTGAAAAAAAGCATTCAGGGTCTGTGTTGTAGTTTTATCCTATTGAATAGACAGGGAGAAAAGTAACAACGAAAACAAAGTTTATGGGCAAAAATACAAAGACATAAGTGTCGACGATGTGATCTCTGCGCGGGTGTGTGTGTGTTCATTGAGTATAGAGTCTATTCTCAATAATAGAAGAAAAAGGTTAAATACAGTGAACATGATAGCCAGTTCTGGAAAGAAATATAAAGCTGTTTGACGGGAAGGGAGAAAGTGACTCAAGAACTCCACCAAGGGACAAACAGAGGAAATGACACCACTACTTCTAATCCATTGGCCTTTCGTCCTTTTAAAAAGGGACGTCTATATCCATTTATAATCGTGTAGACACGTTGTGGAAGCCTTTATAAGCAATCTTTTCTATGACTATTTTTGGTAAATTTTATACTTAACTAGTTATTCTAACTAGCAGAAATGATTGCTTTTCGAACTCATTGCAAATAGTAAATATAAGCTACGGATTAGCTATTGACTCATAGCAAGTACAATTTTGATCCTCAGGACTGTGAAAAATTTTGATGTGTACTGCAACCTTAAATCCATGCTCATAGTATTAAAATGTATAGTAGACTGAAATACCTAAATTATTCATTGCAATAACAGACTTTTTGATGGACATTAAGAAACTCAGCAGTTTAAATAAGGAAACCACAGATTTCCTTTTAAGCAGGTAATAATTGCTAGCACCAGTGATTATTTAATTGGTGGCCAGCCAAAAAAAAAAAAAAAAGCAGTAATGCTGTTTAAATGTCATATGTTGTAATTTATCAATAAAAGAAGAAAGCATGTTCAGAACTAAAATAAGTTGCTCCATTCTACATATTGGATGATTATGAAATATCCCCACATGTTAGTATACAGCATACTTAGAGAAAAAGAAATCATGAAAATAATTTTAAATGGTTTTCTAAATAGTAATGGATAAGCTGTGTGATTTGCTAATTTAGTGTTTTCAGTTTCCAATGATTTTCACTTTAAGCTCAGCATATATTGACAGTTGATCTTCTTCCAAGCTCTAAAATTTTAAATGTCAAA